AGCACCTGTTGGTGCCGGAGCCTCGTGCTGGTGTGCGTGCTGGCCGCGCTGTGCTTCGCTTCCCTGGCCCTGGTCCGCCGCTACCTGCAGCACCTCCTGCTCTGGGTGGAGAGCCTCGACTCGCTGCTGGGGGTCTTGCTGTTCGTCGTGGGCTTCATCGTGGTTTCGTTCCCCTGCGGCTGGGGCTATATCGTGCTCAACGTGGCCGCCGGTTACCTGTACGGCTTCGTGCTGGGCATGGGACTGATGGTGGTGGGCGTCCTCATCGGCACCTTCATCGCGCATGTGGTCTGCAAGCGGCTGCTCACTACCTGGGTGGCCGCCAGGATCCAGAGCAGCGAGAAGCTGAGCGCCGTTATTCGCGTCGTGGAGGGAGGAAGCGGCCTGAAAGTGGTGGCGCTGGCCAGACTGACCCCCATACCTTTTGGGCTTCAGAATGCAGTGTTCTCGGTAAGTGGTGTCCCGCTGCCCCCCATCCCTTTCCAAGACTGTTTTCCAGCGGTCTTGTGACGGTCCTGGAGGGCGCTCCATCAGATAAATGCCAGCAGAAAAGTGCCATTGACAACAGGAGTTAGAATCACTTTGCGTCGCACGCTGAGAAATCTCATACAAATAAAACAAATCTAAGTCGGGGCCTCAGACCTGGTAGAGAAAGAACTCTTTTTTGGCATATGAGTATGGTTAAAAATGAAAAGTCCTTTTAACTTGGAGGGGAGATGAATGAAAATGTCAATTTTAAACATTGTCATCTTATTTCTGTAGCAGCTTTGGCAACAGTCAGGGAGTGAAGGCTTCACATTCCTAGCTTTCTCTCTTGCCTGCAAAAATGCATCCAGGGTTTTGACTCAACTTTTTAAGGACACGAGGCTGAAGGAAGTGTTTGGGTAAACAGCGGAGGGAGTAGCTTCAGACTCCATATTATAGTCTCCTAAAACTTGTAATAGGCCTTTTCTTCATTAGATAATTTGCTTTAATACGGTGCAAAGGGGGAAATCCTCCTGTTTATTTTTCTTTGGAGGAACTGCATTTTGAAATCACTCGGTAGGGGTAAAACAAAATAGGACAGATAACTTTTTGCCTAGTGAGCATATATTTTTCTTTATACACATCTTCTACACTCTTTTTTGCTTGTATTCATACGTTCTGCTTATCCTATTTAGTTTTCTCTAGCTCAGTGCAATTGACTGAGGAATAGAAATACTGCTAGTGAGGAGACCATCTGCCCGGAAGAAAGGAATCCTGTCTTTACAAACTTCCTAACTTTGGACCGCATCATTAACCCTATGTGTCCTTGCTTTCCTCTTTTCTAAAGTGAAGGGATTGAACTTGATTACTGAGTTCCCCAAATTCAATGATTGTAAACTACAAAGAGTTCATATAGTGATTTCCCAGGAACTCAGCCCTTCAGCTTGACTTAAATAAAACTGTGGTATGGAAGTAAAGAGATACAGCATTCAAAACCATAGGGATAGATGTATTTTATATTATGTTAGTGATTCTGATACATTGTATTGTTTTAAAAATAAATTATTGTTAGTCCCTAGAAACTCTCTCATTTTGTTTTGAATTAAGAATAATTCTAACCACTGATTCCTAAAAGATAAATATTGGTATTTTTAGGAGTGTGGTATTGTTTTAAAGCCCAAATATCTCCTGATTCATTAGTTTGAATAATTTTTATCACCACGAATTGCTTTCAAAACAATATATAACTTTAACAAACTATAACCACCGGGTTAAACAATTTAAATAAACTAGCAGTTTATCTAAAAAAAATTCTACCCAACCTACCATTTTTTGATGAAATTAAGATTTTTTTCTTCTTTTTAAATGACTTTTGCAAATCTCATGTTGATTCTAATCAACAGCAGCAACGACTAGAATGAGGCTCATGGAGGCATGGAAATAGATAAGGGTTTTTTGTAGAGAGAAAGTTTGGTGTTTATGGTGGTTTGATATGTTTTTTGGCCTTAAATTTTTCCCTTTTACAACAGCCTATAGTATTAAGTATAAACATGAACTTTGACCCAGCCTTGGGTAAAATAGATCACGTGTTCTAAGACTTTGGAAGAGGGTTGGGACTAAGGGCCTGAATAGTTTCCTTCTGTTAGTTGGCTTTGTTCTCCAGTATAGCTTGTGTCTTTGAGCCTTTTCTTGTTCACCTGCCGTGTGCTTACTACCCTAAGCTCTTTACAAATATTATTTCTAATCTTTAAGCCAGCCCTGCATAATGTATTTATGCATATAGTGTAGACTTGTTTAACAGTTTGGAGCACAGGACTAGTGCTCTGGAGTCCTACTGTCTGCATAGAATCTGTTGACCTTGATCAAGTTGCTTATCTTCTCTGCAGTCAGTTCCTTATTTGCAAAATGGGGAAAGAAGTGGTACCTACTTTATAGGATTATTGAGACAATTAACATAAGACAAATACATTCAGTAGAGTCTGGCTTAACAAACACATGTTCTTTTTTGTCACCATTACTATTGTTATTACCCAAGGTCACCTGGGTACTAAATAATTGGTAAAGTAAAACTATGCACTATGGTTTTATGATAGGGTCTCAAACCATGGCTTCATTGTATATTTGTTTATTTAGTAGCTACTGTAGTCCGGGGTATATAATGAGGATTCATTATATATTTGTTAATTAAAAATAAGACAGTTTTGGAGTGCCTGGGTGGCTCAGTCAGTTAAGTGTTCAATTCTTGGTTTTGGCTCAGGTCCTGATCTCAGGGTCCTGGGCTTGAGCCCCATGTCCTATTCCGCACTCAGCAGGGAGTCTGCTTGATTCTCTCTCCCTCACCCTCTTCCCCTCCTCTCTCTCTAAAATAAGTGAATAAAATCTTTAAAATAAAAGGACAGTTTTTTAAAATGCTTTTTAACATATTAAATACATGAATAAGAATTTGCAGAGCGTATTTACATATATGATACCCTGTAATCATCACAGCAGGTCTTTGAGGAGCTATCCATGACTAAGAGGCAGAGTTCTATAGAGGACAGGTGTCACTTGAAATCAGACTTGGTCCTGACATTTACTGTGGCTTCTTGAGCTAGTTACAGTTACTCTTTGGAGCCATACTTTCTGTTGTAAAATGTGTTTAGTGATACCTGCTACATGATGTGATAAGATATATAATTCGCTCATTATTTACCGCTTCCTTCTCTCCATCCTCTGCATTCCAAAGGGAGAACATCAAAACTCAGAGATTTTTTTTTTTCTTTTGTAACTTAACAAATATTTGTATTACACTTACTAAGTGCCAGGCACTGTTCTTGCACACATCCTATCAACCCTAAGCTTCATCTTACCACTAAGGCAACTGAGGCACAAAGTGGCAAAGTAATTAGTAAATAGTAGAATCATGAACTTACCCAAGGTTCTATTCTTGGTCCAAGAAGAGCTGAATTTCTCAGAGATTTCCTGGTTCCAGTTGCAGAGCACTTGCCCTGTGGTGCATTGAATACATGTTAAGGAGGACCTCCCATGCGTCAGGCTCTGGGCAAGATTCTATATAGTTGAATTAGACATTATCCCAGGACTTCAGAGCAGGGGTCAACAAACTGTGGTCCCTGGTTGGGTCCACCATCTGATTTTGTATGGCACACAAACCAAAAGTTTTGTTTTGTTTTTCATTTTTAAATGATTGGAAAAAATGTCAAAAGAAGAATAATATTTTGTGCACATGAGAGTTACATGAAATTCAAATTTCAGTGGCTGTAAATAGTGTTATTGGAGTACAGCCATCCTCATTCATGTTTATACTGGTTATAGCTCATTTTAAGCTAAACTGGCAGAGTTGCAGCAGAGACCCCAACGCCTGCAAAGCCTAAAGTATTTCTTGCCTGGCACTTTATAGAAAAAGTTTGCATTAGAACTTCAGCAGTGACTCTAATAAAATAGCAATTAAGCCTGAACCCCTGCAACTGTAGGAAGAGGCCCCTAAGCTCTCCTGTGTATCTTACTTACCTTTGTATTTAACAAAATTGTCTTTTTGAAAACAAAAGCAATAAATATGTGGATACTGTGAGTAGAATGCAAACAAAATAGAAATGAGTAAATTTAAAAGTGCAAGACCTGACCCCATCACCCTGGCTCACTTCTCAGTGGAACCATTTTAAAGAATTATGTGTTAGCAGGGGTGCCTGGGTGGCTCAGTCGTTAAGCGTCTGCCTTCGGCTCAGGTCATGATCCCAGGTTCCTGGGATCGAGCCCCGCATCAGGCTCCCTGCTCTGCGGGAAGCCTGCTTCTCCCTCTCCCACTCCCCCTGCTTGTGTTCACTCTTTCGCTGTGTCTCTCTCTGTCAAATAAATAAATAAAATCTTTAAAAAAAAAAAAAAAGAATTATGTGTTAGCAAACTGTTAATTACTTTTGTTATTTTTATGAGCCCATAATAGGTTAAAAACAGCAACAGAAAGATTTTCTGTTGGTTTTGGGAGGGGCAGGGAACTGTGAAACTGGTATAGTAACTAAATGACAGCAAAAGATTAAAGACGAACTTAAAGCAAATATAACTAATGAATTTTCCTCAGGTTTGCACTGAATAATCAAGAAAAAGAAAAGTTTTAGTAATTTAGTTCACAGTTGAACTGAAATTTATTTTACAATGAAAGTTTTTGACAGGCTAGTGATTGTAAGATCACAATTATGGTAAAGTCTTAGCCTCACGGACTCTTTGGGGACCTATAGTTCTGTCTCAGCTCCCGTGTGACTTTGGGGAAGTCATTTAATGATCTGGCCCCCAATCTTCTTATTTGTAAGGGGAGAGGTTAGACAAAGTCTCATAGTTTGCTGTTAAGAAGGCAGATGTTCTGAGCAACAATTTAACATCCCCCTTTATTTTAACAGTTTGGTGATAGTGAGTTTTATGAAAATGTTTTCTCATCCTAAATTCTTATTCTGTATTACAGATATAACCATAGATGCAGATATAGGTAATGGATCATGATACTTGTCACTGTACCAGGGTATCTAATGATCCTTTCTTCTCACTATTAAGGTCTACTGGGTACAGCTTGGATGGAATAAGAAGACAGAGATCAGTGTGTGTTTTGAAGGACCTTGGAGTCTATCTCTGAAGGATCAGATATGATGGCCAAGTTAACAAATGTGATGCCACCTCAACCCATACCCATAGGCCTCACAGTAACACTGAGTCCAACTGGCCATTACTTCTTTGAAACTGTTTACCCCTCTTTGTGCCCCTTCAGTTATCTCATTAGTTTCTGTGGTTTTTAAAGCCTCATCTGTGGGCTTAAAATTCACAATTCAGTATCTCTAGCCTATTGTATCTTAGTAACACATACAGTATGTCTTATTGTCCCTTATCTAGATTAAAAAAAAAGTCTTTAAAAGCAGATGGGTTTTATTAAAACTTACTTCAACAGTTTCAGCAGTGTTCATTGTAAAAATTGAAAAGTATAGTTAAGTACAAAGAAGAAAACA